AATTCCAATCCAGCGGCTTTGAGTTTCTTGTCTCTTCGCTTCCCAAAAAAGCGGGAAAACCCTAAAAATTTCTAACCTGTCAAACGGTGCGTATCTTCCCCAGTAAATACACACTCGAACGTCCTTCGTAAATCTCACAGGCAAAATCCGCACTCGTTTACTCGGACTCGGGGGCATGTATTCGTAGGATACCTGAATTCACCAATTGGTCGACGATACACGGACGAAGCTTGTCGATCCACTCTTCACGATCGTAATGTCACGATCGCAGGAGTGACGAACGTTTCTTAACGTCAGTCGTTTGTTGATGTCGACACACTGGTAGTTGATAAGCCAGCAGCGGTGTCGCGACATATAACACACGACACAACAACGGTGTCACGACATATAACACACGACACAGAACACTCACAAGTCTGTGTCGATTCACCAGGCGCTCGACAATCAGTGAGCAATTCCTAATTTAGCAGTTAAGAGTAAACGATTACAAAGATCAGTCAATGCCACGAATCACGGGAATAATTGACCCAGTGTCAAACACGATCCAACAGTTACAACATTCCAGGTAACCAACTTCGATAACTGACCGGATTTTCAGGTATACGGTTTATTTTACTGTTTTAAATATGAAGATCACACCAGAAAAAAGGTACGTTTTTCCCTTTAGAGAAATTAAGAGAGAGAAATTATTCTTTTTCTTCATCACTTTGAACTGAAAAGATTCAGTAGATCCCTTTTTGACTTGAGCGTCGGAGTGCCTTTGTAGGTACCCAACCCATTTTCCCATCAGAGAGTATAGCGCAGGAAGGGAGATATCATAGTAGCGGCATCACAGGAAGGAGCAGCTGAGGTTTATTAGGTTCGTATCTTGGTTTCCACATCCAGACAGAAACATATACCCAAAACAATTATAAAAAAATATCATCTTATATATTACTGTATATCTATAATTATATATAAAGTAGTATATTTTTTCTTGCTACACAATTTTTGGACAATTTTATCCTTTATTAATATATTTTATTCATTATTTTATTTTTAAGTTTTTCATAAATATTTATTTAATTCACTCTAATTATTATGTAGCTGTCTTTTATATACCACTCTTTACTAACTTTATCATTTATTAATATATTTTATTTTATTTTTAAAGTTTTATAAATATTTTTTAAACTCAATTAACTATACAAATTAATTGGACCGAAAGCACCTGTTTCTGTATTTTTTTATTTGCCTTGAGTGACTTAGGTGAAAAAGGGAAAACCGCTCTCTGCGAAATTATCCAACCCTAGATCTTTAGAGTGCAAAAATTTTGTGCAATCTCGATTGGCTCTTTTGACGTTCGAGGATCGAAAGGGGAAGGGGAGATTGTTATTTATTTATTTATTTTTGTGAACCCAACCGTGATAGGCTTCGGGTGCGATTCTTTGAGAGAGAGAATTCTTCGGATTTTCTTGGGATTTTGGAGCAACCTCGGGGAGAGCTTAATTAGTGGCTAATTGAGGAAGACAAAGAAGAGGAGAAAAAAAAACGCTGCAGAATGACCGACAGAAAGACTCTTGAGAACGAGAGAACGCGGAGGGCGAGTGAAGAACGTTAGAAGCTTGAAGTCTGTCGGTGACGAGGGTGTGACCATAAGAGGAGCTAGAACCAAAACTAGGTATGGGGAGCTAATCGGTTTTATTTTGTTTAGATAAAATTATCTGTGAAGTTGGTGATTTTTTTTTTTTTGTGAAATTGGTGCTTGTTATTTGGTTCTTGTTTCGTTGTTTTGGGTTGTTTTAGAATTATGCACTCTTTTAGTTTAAACAAAAGAGAAAGGTGGTATTGTGTCCATGTATATTGAAGTGGGTAATTCGGTGATTTGAGAATTGATATGATTGTGTCGGTTTGCTACACTAGGGGCGCTATGTTGGGTTATTGTTGAAACAGTGGGTACTGGTTTGATTCATATATCTATCGTTCTGGGTAACGTTTTCGCATGATAATGTAGTTGTCTTGTACATGGTTAGTAGGTGCCAATGCTTGCTGTTATAAGTGGTTGAGTTAGCATTTGTATCCTTTTTTTTTAATCTGTAGGTGTGTGAAATTAAGGATTTTAAGTAACTGTAATGAGGGGCTATAGAGCGGAGATAATTGCATTGTTTATTGAGTAACACGGGCGTAATGTGTTTGGGGGAGCTAATTTCAATCTGTTTTATTATATGCGTGTGTATCTGTAAAAGAAAAACCTGAAATTCTCTTTTTGATTCTTGATTTGTGATTTTGATATTGTTTGAAGATTATAGACATGTCCAGTTTATAAAATGTTATGCCTTTTGATTCGAACATTAGAATTTTCAGTGATTGAGATTGCATTGTTTAGAATTTGGGTTCTGGAAATGATAATGGTCTATTATGTGATATATTCCATAAGAATGTAAATGAGTGTGCCCTGCGTTTTTTATTTGATTAGAAAAAAAGAGAGTGCTGTATACATTGGAATTTTCGAAATGGGACATAAGAGGTGTTAGATATATTATATCTTTTATCTTTATCTTTTAGTTAGTTTCTTATTATTTCTTATTTGTATTTTGGGTTAGCCCATATTTCTTCTATTATAAATAGAGAATCCTATGTATGTATTTAACACAAGGAGATTAATCCCATATATAATTTTCACTATATTCAACATGGTATCTAGAGCTTAAGGTTCTTTTTTGAGGAAAAAGTTTTTGGCGCCTCTGCCACTACATCCGCCACTGCCGGCGGCGGCGCCATCTACTGCCGCCGGCGGTGCCATCGTCTACCGCTGTCACTACCGGAGTTCTAGTTTCGACTGATGATCACATTGTTTTCATCGTCTCGGACAGAAGACTACCATGCCTTTAACGACGCCTTCAACGGAGTTCCTTTTAAAGTTATGGATTTGCTCCCTTTTTCGTCGTGCATTGTGGCATGTTTGGTAGTTGTTTAGAACATCGAGGTTGCTCTTTTTCCTTTTTAAGGTGTCATGATTGGAGAATTTTGGATTTTTTATGGTTTCTCTCTCTTATTCATCCATGGCTTCTTCCGCTGGTGTCTCTTCTGACCTCATTTTTTTGTCACCATTGTGTTTGACCCGTCTATATATGCTTTTATCCCATGGAAAAGATGGTTCTTGTTAGTTTATTTATAGCCATGGTGGCTCTTCAACAATTACATCTTTATCCACTGGTGGCACTCTTCAACGGTGATTTGCAAGAAGAGATTTACATGGAGCAACCTCCCAGATTTGTTGCTCAAGGGGAGTCTTTTGGGTTGTTATTTCGTCTTCTATGTCGTCTTGCAAATCATTAGCAATTTGATGTCACGCGAGTGTAGAAGTAGATATTTTCACTAAGTCTTTATGGATTATATTAGTAACAAGCTTTTGTACATACGATTTGTATGCACAGCTTGAGGGAGAGTGTTAGATATATTATATCTTTTATCTTTTAGTTAGTTTGTTATTATTTCTTATTTGTATTTTGGGCTTAGCCCATATTTCTTCTATTATAAATAGAGAACCTTATGTGTGTATTTAACACAAGGGAGATTAATCCCATATATAATTTTAACTATATTCAACAAGAGGAATGTCTATGTTTAATTGTTTTTTTCACACTGTTTAATTATTGTTTCTGCACCAGAAAACTTTGCTGTTTGCTGTCAAAAAGGTTGTTGTTTCTGCTCTGTTTTCTTGCTGTTTGGTGCCTGTATTGCACTTAAATCATTTGCTGTTTGCTGCCAAAAAGGCTTGCTGTTAGCTGTTATAAATTCTGCAAATTCCTTGCTGTGTTAAAATGAAATTCTGCAGAAAAATGGTTGCTGTTTTACTTTGTTTCTGCCACGAAAAATGCTGTTGTTTTTACTTTGTTTCTGCCCAGAAAAAAATGTTACTGTTTTTAAAGTTTCTGCACCAGAAAATGTTGCTGTTTGAATGAAAATACTGTATCAGAAACTTGCACTTTGCTGATTGAACGAAAATGCTGTTTGGAATTTTAAAGTTTTGCTGTTTTGGGTTAAAAATCTGCAGAATATACTTGCTGTAATTGCTGAATCTTGGCTACTGATATTTGTATTGTTAATAAGAACAAATTTAGACCGAACATTAAGTGATTTTCATTTCCTAGGTTAATGGATCATTATTATCTTAAGTGGAATGTATTTTCCTTTATTGAATCTTTGTAATTCTGATGGCAAAGATTTTATATAAGCTAAACCATTTTTATCAAGGAAACAAGTTGAGTTTTATTCAGAAATATTAGAGTTTAACTTGTTTATCTTAGTGAGAGTGATTCTCCTAAGTTCTTGAATGATTGAAGTACCCCTTGACTGCATGAAAGGACTTTCACATCCTTTGTGAGATGCCTCCCTTGGAAAGAGTGATTCTTTCCTTCCACCTTTCAATACTCACTTTTTATTCTTCCTTCACCAGAATTCAGAAAACTCAATCCTACCCAAATTTATCTCGTAGTCACAACTCACATTCTACACGCCCGAATTGAGTGGTTTTTAGCCTAAATTGAAGTTTAAAATTAGCACTTTCACCTCATTTTGGAATAATCTCAATTGAAGTTTTATAACTTGTGTTATCGACATTTCTAAAATTTTGAACCAACCTTGGAATTTTCGCCACTTTTCAATCCACCCCTTCATTAATTTTCTAAATTTCCCACAAGATTCTAACCCTAAAGATTCTAATTCAACCCTTGTGCAAATGGGGTTTAGATCATTTGGTTATCAGAGCTTCAATTTAAGGTAATATATTGGTGTTTTTGAAAGATGATTGATAATTCTCTTATTTACCAATTTTCTTTTACCCTTTGCTATAGCGATTTATTAGTCTTTCTCTATCTACCTAACCTTATTGTGGACACATTGGACCATTGTTCTTTGTTGTGACCATAATCTTTTGAATTGCCTAAGAATCCAAGGAGAATTTGAATGGTGAAAGGAAAAATTGTTTTCATTATAAGAAAAGCCATAATTGTGTGATACACTAGAGTGCGGCAAGTTTACAATATTTTTTTTATTTTCTATTTTATTGTTGCGTTGATATATTTGTTGTGATGGCTAGAAAAGGAAAATTCCAACCAAAGAGCAAGACTTAGTCCATTCAAACAAGGACTTTGACACAACATTTGGAAGGATTGATGATGTGACATAAGAATGAGCTCCTTGAAAGGTTGGATTAGTTGGAGAGTAGAGGTCTTGAAGAAGAAGAAAAAAGAAATAAGAAAAGAAATGATGGAGTTGCAAGACCAAGTAGGCTTGAAGGAGTCAAGCTTAACATTCCTTCGTTTAAAGGAAAAAGTGATCCAAAGCTATACTTGGAGTGAGAGATGAAAATAAAGCATGTGTTATCATGCAACAATTATGAGGAAACCCAAATAGCAGTCACATGGTTTTCCAACTATGCTCTTGCTTGGTGGAACAAGCTACAAAAGAAGAGAGCTAGAAATAAGGAGCCAATGGTTGATACATGTACTACGATGAAAAGGATCATGAGGTAGTGGTATGTGTCGGCTAGTTACTTAAGGGACTTTAAATTCAAACTCCAAAAACCTATTCAAGGCAACAAGGGGAGTGAAGTATTTCAAGGAAATGGATATGCTTATGATTCAAGCAAGGATTGAAGAAAATGAGGAGATGATTATGGCCTAATTTATTGGTGTTTTGAATGATGATATATGTAATATTGTTGAGTTGTATGAGTTTGTCGAGACGAAGGGTTTACTTCATAAAGCAATTTAAGTGGAGCAACAACTCAAAAGAAAAGGAGTGGCCAAGAAAAGTTCCACCAACTTTGGATCTTCTAGTCGGAAGGACAAAAGCATGAAAGATGGGGCTGCTACTTTTAGTAGTTCCACACCTATTCCTTTAAAGACTCCTTCAAAGTTCCAAGAAAAACCCTGTAAAAGGAGTAGAGATGTGAAGCGTTTCAAGTGTCAAGGCTTAGGGCACTATGCTTATGAGTTCCTTAATGTCCATGGTTCAGAGATGGAAAATATATAAATGAATCTAAGGTTGAAGAAGGAGAGGAGAGTGAGGACATTGAGGAAGAGGAGACTTCGAAGGGAGATTTGTTGATGATTAGTCAATTACTTGGTGGTCAAGTGAAGCCTATGGAAGACAGCTAAAGAGAAAACATCTTTCACACTAGATGTTTAATCAATGGCAAGGTGTGCATGGTGATCATAGATAGAGATAATTACACCAATGTGGCTAGTGCTATATTAGTGTTTATTGAAGTTTCACATCAACTAAAGGTTAGATCAATTTAGAGTATATATATATGAGTGCAAACCTCACTTTAAAAGTCAGTTTTGCGGGGTTGAGTTAAGCTTAAAGTTCACTTCTTAACATGGTATCAGAGTCATGTATTAGAGCCTATCCTAACAAGATTGTGTTTGTTGGACATATCATTCCATCTGCTATCGGGTCGCTATTGGATCACCCATTAATATCTAGTTCCACGCACAAGATGTATATACCTTGGTATGAGGAAGGTGTGTTGGAAGTTCCACACCAACTAGAGATAAAGTCAATTTAGCTAATAAACCACATCCAAGGCCATATAAACTTCAATGGCTTAGTAAGGATAGATTGGTGCAAGTGAGGTAGTAAGCTAAAATAGACATTTCCATTAGAAAAATACGAGGGTCAGAATCTTCTCCCTCACTCTCATCATCACTTGTGCCTTTCTCTTCTTCTTCACTACCATATGACTCAATACTCCTTAAAATTATGGTCTTTTTGGTGGGAGATTGTGATACAATATGACCTCTACCTTGATACTTAAAACATTTAATGTCATTAGTGCATATAGATGATGATAATTCTTCCTTTCTATTTTCCTTTCACAAATTTCTTGGGGGATTACTCTCCTTTCACTTGTTTTCCCTCCCTCTTATAGTCTTTCTTAACACTAGAGTTAAAGTGGAAAGTTTTCAAACCTTTTCTCAAAAGTTGTTACTCTACTTTTATGCAAATTTGCACCAAATCATTCAAATCTTAGTAATGCAACAAGGATGGCAAGATGGATATCTCTTTCAATTTTCTCTTTATCTTTTAAGATTGTTTCTTGCTTCCTCCAAAGTTTAAGTGATTTTAGCTTTTGGGTCAAATTGTTCAAACTTGGTTGGACCTCTTCACTAGAATCACTTTCAAGTTGGTAAGAAGGGGTTTTAGACATGCTTAGGCTTTTAGATGCTATGCACAAACAAAACTTATATTTCAAAAAGAAATTTCCTAAGAGACTTAAGGAGACAAAATGAACTCAAGTTCACATCCAGAGAAAGGAGGTGAATCACAAATGATTACTTAATAACCAAGAATTTCTTACCAAAGTATACCTCAAGCCCTCTTACATTAAACTTCTCAAATGGAATTAAGTTTAATACATAAGTGGATACACACTAAATTATAAGCAAATATAGAAAACAAATAAACTAGATTATGTAACTTAATAGTAAAGTTAGAAGGCACTTAGAACCTTTAAACCTTTACCAACTAAAAACATTTTTAATATGGTATAAAGAGTTTCTAATTAGGAGATGAGATTGGACACCAAAGACTCCCCACCAAGACACCTAATTAGGTTATGAGATACAAGAGGAAAAAAGAAGCAAATTTAACTCAAGAAATACAAACAAATTGAAAGTCTTCCTCCCAAGTCTTTCTCTCTTTTTCTTCTTGTATCCTTAAGACTTGAAGCTCCAATTATGTCTCCGCCACCTAGAATGCCATCTCAAGATGTTGGTTCACCTCAAAAAAGAATTTACACCACAAAATATTACCAAAGTCGTGAGTGGACGCCAAGGAAAAGAAAGAAAAGGTCTCAACAAGGAAGACTATCAAAAAGGATTTATATATGACAAAACCGAGAAGAAATTAGGAAAGAGGAAAAGAGATAGTTAGAAGACAAGTTAGAGTACCTTTTCTTGCCCGACAAAGTGTGCGTCTAACATTCAACACCGGTGGTGGCCTTGAAGACGGTTTCATATCCTCTACTTCGTAAATCCCTCCTGTTCATAAATCTCTCTAGTTTCTAAATTCCTAATAGCACATTGGCATAACAACACAATGCGTAATCTCTAAAGAGGCAAAAGATAAAAACTTCAACATCTTAAACCCAATGATTAAAATGTAATTTCATTTTCTCAGTAGGCACTTGTGGATATGGGTAATATGATATTGGTAGGTACTTGTGATATGGATAATATGATATCGAATCCGACCCGTTAACGAATGAGTACTAAATTACTTGGTACTCACAAGTACTTATTACTTGAGAATATCAACTCACAAGTACTTATTACTTGAGAATATCAACTATTCACAATGAATTTTATCCGCAAATACCCACTGACATAGATATTTTTACCATCCTCAATTAGATCTATCAAGGAAATGTTTCTATACTTTAATTTTACTAATTACTGGTAGGTATAATATGTACTATTAATGAATACATTTTTACAAGAATAAGAAAATGAGTCTAACCACTAATGCTTATCCATTACTACTTTCCTATAACTTATCTAATTCGTGGAAAATAAAGAGAAAGTCTCTATTTAAAGTGATTGGTTCATCTATACCTATTTATAAAAATGATTTTTTTATTTATTTTGAAGTCTATCTTTATCTTTTATTTTTATTTTTAAATAAAAGTTGTTCTAAAATAAAATAATTATTTTATTAATTTTTTCTTTAAGTAACCGTTTCTTTACATTTAACCATTTTTTCATTTGACAATTTAATTTAACCATTTTTTAATTAAAAAATTACTTACAAATAAATGAAGACCATTTACAATAAAATTATAAAAGTTATTTATATTTAATTTTATACATATAATAATAAAAATAACTTTATTATTTATTATTATTATTATTAAAAAAAGTTAATATAACGCTTGTGTTTTCACTATGAATCAATATCATAATTAAAATAAATGTAATAAAAAAGTTGTTTGGCAAATAATTTACCATTAGAATCCATAAGCATTTTAATTATATTATGATGAAGGAAATATATTTTAATATTTATAACAATAATACAATTATTTTTATTTTTATTCTTTAAATAACTATTTTATTCAAATAACTATTCATAATATTTTTATTTTAATAATTAAAGATTACTTTATAGTTTAATATTAATTTTGTTCAAATAATTATTATACTAATAAATCTTTTATTTATAGTAAAAAAAGTAGACACAAGAACATAGTAATAATATATAAATTATATATTAACTTTTTTAATAAATTATTATCTATAAACCTATAAATTAAATTTGAAATTAATAATAACTAATTTATATAATATTATGTTTACGTAATAATAACTTAAAAAAAAACTACATTTCAATTGAAGAATAAAGATTAGTACTAAAGAGAAAAGAAGAGAAATAAAGACTCATAATATGATATCTTCATGATACACTAAATTTATCCAATAAAGAGAAACAATTACAGTGGTTTTTTTCTTTTTTTTCTAGGGTAACAGGTTGTTTTAGTAAAGGACCAAAACCCTGTAAAAGTGTGTGTTTGGTCTGGTAAAACTAAAGCACCAAAGGTTTTGTTTGATTCGCTGGCAGCTTCAACAGAACTATAATCATCAATGCCCATTTCTTCTCAAAGATCGTTCGATTGAAGTCCAAGCACAAATTAGGAGACAATTGTAGGCTAAGGACAGTGAAATTCAGATCAGAATAATCGATGGGTAATTTGTTTGTGAAGAAACCAAAGGTCACAGATGTTGATAAAGCAATCCTCGCTCTCAAGACCCAGAGACGCAAACTCGCCCAATATCAACAGAAGGTTTCCCTCTTTCTCCACAAATCATTTTTTTCTCTGATTGAATTTTATGTTACAAGACAATAGGGTAAAAAATATGATCAGTAAAGATGCACAGATGAATTTGGATCTTTTGGAATCTTTTCATGGCTAGTTCCGATGAATAAATGTTTGCTGAATTTGGATCTTATGCTATTTCATTTTTTTTCTATTATTTTGTGTTTTCCAGCTTGATGCAGTTATTGAAGCAGAAAAACAGGCTGCACGAGATTTGATTCGTGAAAAGAAGAAGGATAGGGCCTTGCTAGCACTGAAGAAAAAGAAGACACAAGAAGAATTATTGAAGCAAGTTGATACTTGGCTTATAAATGTTGAGCAGCAAGTAATATTTTTATATTATTATTCTGTCATTTATATATTCTGTCTTTGTTTTTGTTTCATTTTGATCCATCAGTAATAACTATACTATTACCTGTTTGCATCTCATATGGTTTTACAATTATCTGTTTCTTTGCAATAATCAGAAGAGATTATTGTGAATTAACATTGCTGTCTTTTTACTTGATTATACACCTATAACAATCTTCTTTTTCAGTTAGCAGATATTGAACTGGCAAGCAAGCAGAAGGCTGTGTTTGAAAGTTTGAAGGCTGGTAATGATGCAATGAAAGCCATACAAAGTGAGATAAACATTGACGATGTTCAGAAACTCATGGATGACACTGCTGAAGCTAAAGCCTATCAAGATGTGAGTTTGACTTTACTATTGTGGTTACACTTCAGTTTTCCTGCTTACAAAACTGATTTCCATGTCTGGCTTTTTTTATATTGAGGGTTTTCCTTTTTTGGGGAAGGTAGATGAAGGTGGGGGGTGTTCAAACATGTTTACAGCTGCTATAGCACCATGGCATTGTGAAATTCCTTGAATCCATGATTGCAACTCCTTTTGTTAGAAGTGTTGTTGTGGCATGTCACCTACTTCCTCTTGTTATCTATAGGAAGTCTCTGCCTAATTGAAATTTTGAATAATTATTATGCCTATTTGTGCGCATTTTATCTTTTATATGCATACATAGAGCACAGTTTTTTCTTATACATATATAATTGGTATATGCAATATATTCCAGCTGCTATGTAACTTCCATAATTTTCCCACGTTGCTATTCACTATATGATACAGCGGATTGTTGGCTTTCTGCCATTTTCTGCTATCTAAGATTGATAAAACCGGGCCTTGAAAGTGCTATTATTATTTGGCTGCTAGTTTTCTGTTTACTATTTTTCATATGCCTTGTTTATATTTGATGCTCACTGATGGTTGCCATAATTTTGTTGAATGTGAAGGAAATTAATGCGATACTGGGGGAAAAATTATCAGCAGAAGATGAGGAGGAGATTTTAGCAGAATTTGAAGACTTGGAAACCCAGGTATATGTTTTCCCAGTCTTATAATTTGGTATTAGTTCTACCTTTTACTCTCTCCAATATAAATATCATCCATTCAAATTGTTCCTATTGAATTTTCGGTTAATCATATTAGTATGGATTATTGAAGAGACATAAATTGTTGTGCTTCATTTTAACCATTTTCACACATACTGTACATCTTTGGGAGAATGGCATGAGCATATTATTGTTGTGCTAGCCAAGGCTAATAGAGCTTCTTATCGGTTAAATTTGCCAACTGTTTGTTGTTAAGATGAATGGGGATATAATATTATTTGGGGAATCTAACTGAGGTAGGCTTGGCAATTCTTCTAGTAAAAGCATGGGATTCAATTGTGTTTGCCTGTATGCAAAGTTTTGAGCTAGTGATTGACTGCAGAGATAATGAATTTGGAATAGGAATGATACATATAAAAAATGGTCGCAAAAATAATTCTGAATTTAAAGAGGCTTAGATATGGAAATTTTACAGAGTTCATTTTGTTGCTTCAGCTTACAGTCCAAGATCTTCCTGAAGTTCCTCCCTCAGCTCACGAAGAAATCGAAGAAAAGTTGGACCTTCCTGATGTCCCAACCAAAGCACCAGTTACCAGTGATGCTGAAGTATTTACGAAAAAAAAAGGTATCTTCCACTTCCTTCTTGTCGACTTCCAAAGCAGAGATAAAAGAAGAAAAGAAATTATCTAACTTCTAATTAAACTACTTATTACGCAAACAGTTATGGAGGAACCATTGGCAGCTTGAAGAACATTGCGACCATAAACATGTCAATTGCTCTGTAAACCAAGGCTTGCAATATGACTGTCTTTGCCTGTATCTTATAGATTTCTCTTGCAATGCACCTACTGAGTTTGATTGATTTATCTGCAGTGGCATTTAATTTGTACAGATTTCCATGTATAATTATACATGACTTTTAACAAGAGCTATAGACTAAATCATATGTTTTGTTCCCCCTCCTCCCCTTTTTCGACTACTTTCACATTATTTACGACAGATACTCCAAGGTTAACCGAAAATGTTTACCAATAATATCCCGAAATTCTTGGTTGATGATGTTGTGCCATTCGTTAGTGCATTCGTTGTCCATGTGGAAACATTGATTACAAGGTTGCCATGTAAGTTAACTGAACTATTAATTAACTATATTATGTTATACAAAAAATATTGAACTGTTTGTAGTTCAGTTTTTTAAAACTTAACTTCTAAAGTTGTAGTTTAGATAACTACTTGTTAATTTAAAACTACATTGTTTTATATTTATTGAGAGTTTTTAAAGTTATAGTCTAATTTGACCGTTGTTGACTAGACCAAACTTTAGTCATGGCTCAATTGATTGAATTTGGTCGATTTTTAGTTGAAGTCGACTTGATTGATTTTTGGTTAGGACTAATTTAATCGAATTTCAGTTAGGATAAACTCAGTTGAATTTTAGTTTTGGTCAACTTAGTTAAATTTGGTCAATTATTGGTTAGGATCGATTTGTCAATTCAGTTTAATCTTGATCAAGACTCACTCAACTCAGTTTCAGCAGTGGTCATCCAGGTTGAATTCAACTAATTGTCGATTGGTGCCAACTCATTTAAATTTTAGTCAAGATTAACTTGACTGAGTTTCAATCATTGCCTTCTCGGCCAAATTTAATTGATATTCAGTCGGGGCCAACTCGACCAAATTTCGATCAAAACTAATTCAAGTGAGTTTTGATTGTGGTTGTTCCGATTGATTTTTGGTCAAGGTTGACTTAATAGAATTTGACCAAATTTTGGTTGGGTCTAACTTGACATATTTTCAGTGTGGTCGTATCGATTGAATTCAGACTAATTTTGGTCGGGGCTAACTCAACTGAGTTGCGACTATGGTAGTCCTAGTTGATATCAAAATTTTACATTCTTTTAATGTGAAAGGCATCTCGTTTGAGTTGTTCCCATAAAAAAATACTAAGGAGCTACTACTTTGAACAAAAACGAGTTAAGTCCTTTCCGTTAGTGCTTATAAACGATGTTTTTTTTACTACATAACGTAAAAGGCTTAATTGTTACGATTTTACAAAATTTAGGATTTAATTGAAACTATTTTCAACGAAATGATCCATTTGAGATTCATAAATAAATATGAGGACTAAACGAGGTTTGAGGGTTTGAAAAAAAGAAAAGTGATCAAAAAACAAAAAAAAAGTAAAAAATATGAAATAAGGAGTTGATTAACATTTCTTAAAATTTTTTTAAGAGAATATAACTGAACATGAATTGCTCGAAGATTATACATTAATTTTATACTTAAGTTTATATTTTAGATGTGAGAAACAATCTATATAAATTGCTCCCATATGCAAAGTTGATTGCTAACTAATCCTTTTAGTAAGAGTTATTTCCACAATCATACGTTAAACATTTGTTCTTACGTTTTTCTTCCATGGGAGAAGTGTAAGGTGGATATCATATGTTGAACTAGTTATTTTCCAATTTATTAAAAACCGTTCTTAATCAAACACAAAAATTACAAAAAAATGGAGGGAAACAATAGAAATCTTCACAGTAAATAAATAAAAATTAAACTAAAAGTACCAAATAGATTTCATTAAGCTTGAAATTGTTCAAACACATATTGTAAAGGGAGTGCTCACCTTACTATGTTATTGCTTCCTGCACCCCTAAAATCACTAACTGCACTCTCCTAATGGTAAAAAACTTCTCAAATACTTTTCACCACTGCACAACACTACCGTTATTAGTATTGATACCGTCACCGTTTCCGTAGTCACCATTTCAAGGAAGAAAACACTACCGCTACTAGTATTGTTACTGTCACCGTTTCCATAGTCACCATAGTCACCATTCCTGTAAAGGAAGAAGAAAAGAGAAAATGTGATAAAGAATTTCATTCTGAAAAGTTTTTTCCGCAAGTATTTCATCTGTTTAGAAACACACTTCATACATACAGGGGTCTTCATCAAAAAAATCATTTTGAAAAATATTATATGCATTTCAAAAAGTTTTTTTCTTTCAGAAATTCTAATTTCAAAATGCATTTCATATGTTTCGAAAATTCTTTTCCGAAAATTTTATTTGAAAGATTTTGTAAAACTTATTTAGGAAATTTTGGAAAGTTTGTTCCAGAAAGTTTACAGAACATGCAATTTGGAGGTCAGTTTTAAAAAGGATAAAATGATTATTTTGAAAATTGGAGGACGTGTCAAAAAAGATTGTGGGAGTGTAGAAAGTAAAAAAGCCTCCTTATCCTTAAAGTAGGAAAACAATCCACAATTGTCCTTTTACTATGGAAAATGATACTCGAACAACCAAATTTGACAACATTTCGACACAGCACACGTGTCAGCGTTTGAGAGGGCCACGTTCAAAACGAAAAAAGCTGCTGCGTTCTGAGGAAATCTGATCAAACCTGCTTCAAATGTGACGTGGCGAGGACGGGCACGGGCAGCTTGCGTTTCAAATTTGAAATGGTATTCGAACTTCGTAGACAGAGAAGCGCGAACAACCAAAACCCACTTGTGTGACCTAGACGAGAGAGTTGGAGAAAGGGTTCAGGAGCGACAGAGAGAGAGACCGAGTCGTTGCCGGAGTGCCGCCGCCGTTCACTGTTGAAGGCCGTGTCGGAGAGATCGAACGCCCTCCAGCCCGTTCCGTTTGAGGGGCGCCGCAGCTCCGTCGAAGCGAACAGGGCATCGTGTTCCGTCCGTTCCGGCCCAGCGACCTACGGAGGCGTTGAAGGTGTCGCTTCGTCCCAGGTGGTGCCGTCCCTGTCGC